CCATTTTTTTTGTACGCACCGATTCACTTCATTGCCCTTCCTCCTGCTTCTCCTGCTCCTCCCCTATCCTTTCCTTTCCTTTCCTTTTTTTTATTTTGTGGTTTATTTTATGCATCTGTTTCTTCTTGGTGTAGTTCTGCTCACGTAAACCCATCGACTCAGAATGACCTCTGTGGAATCCGGCGCCAAGGTCCTCCGCATGAAGGAGAGCGACGTGCAGAAGCTGGTCGCGATGCACTGCCACCTCGGCACCAAGAACCGCAGCAACGCCATGAAGAAGTACATCCACAGCCGCACGAAGGATGGCACGAACATCATCGACCTCCACATGACGTGGGAGAAGCTGATTCTCGCCGCCCGCGTGATTGCGGCCGTGGAGAACGCGCAGGACGTCACGGTGTGCTCGACTCGCCTCTTTGGCCAGCGCGCCGTCTTCAAGTTCTCGCAGCTCGTCGGCACCTCCTTCCTGGCTGGCCGCTTCATCCCCGGCACCTTCACGAACCAGATCCAGAAGAAGTTCATGCAGCCGCGCGTGCTGCTCGTCACGGACCCCCGCACGGACCACCAGGCCCTTCGTGAGGCGAGCCTCGTGAACATCCCCGTGATTGCCTTCTGCGACACGGACGCCCCGCTGGAGTTTGTGGACATCGCCATCCCGTGCAACAACCGCGGCCGCTACTCCATCAGCATGATGTACTGGCTGCTGGCCCGCGAGGTGCTGCGCCTGCGCGGCACGATCCCCCGCAGCGTGCCGTGGGACGTCAAGGTGGACCTCTTCTTCTACCGCGATCCCGAAGAGGCCCTGAAGCACGAGGAGCCCGCCCAGATCGCCGCCCCGGTGGCGGAGGTGGACGAGGGCTTCGGTTGGGTTGAGCGCGACAACAACACCTGGGAGCAGTAGGCAGTCGCCGCGAGAGTAGACGCAAGGACAAGGACTTCACCCGTTGTGGGGGCCCGGTGTGTGGAACAATAAGTAACTTTCATTTGATTTGTTTTTGTTTGTTTTTTTTATTTGGTGGGTGGGACGCCCGTGCGCATTCGACGGTGTGACCAGCTCGACAATGCCTGTTTCACTGCCATGATTCACATTGTATTCCTTTTCCCGAGTGGGGAAACCCCCCCCCCACACACACACACACA